CGAAGTATGAGTATTCCGGAACACTTAATTTTGTTCATGAGAAACCTATACATAGACCAAGAGGCAGTTGTGTGAACAGAACAAGGGAACACTGAGTAATTTAAAATTCGGAAAGGTGTGTGACAGGGTTGTATTCTTTCACCATACTTATTCAACCTGTATGCTGAGCAAGTAATCCGAGAAACTTGATTATATGAAGAAAAACATGGCATCAAGATTGGAGGAAGACTCATTAACAACCTGTGATATGCAGATGCTGTAACCTTGCTTGCTGAAAGTGAAGAGGACTTAAAATACTTACTGATGAAGATCAAAGACCACAGCCTTCAGTATGGGTTGAACCTTTGGTATGGGTTACATGCAGCTCAATGTAAAGAAAACAAAAATCCTCACCACTGAACCAACAAACAACATACGTATAAATGGAGAAAAGATTGAAGTTGTCAAAGACTTCATTTTGCTCGGAACAACAATCAACGCTCACAGCAGCAGTAGTCAAGAAATCAAGCTACATATTGCATTAGGCAAATCTGCTGGACAAGACCTTTAAAGTGTTGAAGAGCAAAGATGTCAGCTTGAGGACTAAGGTGCGCCTGACCCAAGCCATGGTATTTTCAATCACCTCATACGCATGTGAAAGTGGGACAATGGATAATAAAGACCTTAGAAGAATGGATGCATTTGAGTGAATGGTGTCAGTACGTGGACTGCTAAAAGAACAAACAAGTCTGCATTGGAAGCAGTACAGTCAAAATGTTCCTCAGAAGTTAGGACGGCCAGAATGCATCTCTCATACTTCGGGTATAATATCAGGAGGGACCAGATCCTGGAGAATGACATCATGCTTGGTAAAGGGGTCAGCAAAAAAGAGGAAGTCTCCCAGAGATGTACTGGCACCGTGGTAGCAGCAATAGGTTCAAGTATAGCAAAGATTGTGAGGTTGGCCCAGGACCAGGCAGTGTTTTGTTCTGTTGTGCAGAGGGTCGCTATGAGTCTGCACCGACTCGACAGCACCTAACAACAACAACTATATTGGAGTCCTGGTGTATAGTCATAGAGTAAGCACCTGAACGCAAGGCTGATTTGCACTGCAAGGCTCAGAAATCCTGTACAAGATGGCTGTGAGTTGGAACTCACTTGACGGCACTTAACACCCAACAAATATGGAAACGTCACATTTTGGCTCCCATGGACTTGTTTTAATTTTTTCAGCTTCAACCTGAATTTGTACATGAGCAATGGATGGTCTTTCCCACAATCTGCCTCTGGCCTGATTTTGGTTGATGATATTAAGCGTTTCCACCATGTTCTCCCACATATGTTGCCAATTTTTTGATTCGTGTGTATTTCATCCGGTGAGGTCCTTTTATACAATTTAAAAAAGGTGTTTGCATTAAATAAGTTAGTGGTGTTGCAACATTCCATCATGCAATATGCATCCTCAGTTCTGTCCCTGAGGCCAGGTTTCCAACTACTGATCCTTCTTCGTTTACAACCTTTGCATTTCAGGCAGCAGTAATTATCAACGCTTCTTGATTGCGTATGTGGTCAACTTCCAACGGAAGAAGTTGGCAGCATTCTTCAATCTCATCCTCAGTGGCTTCAGTGGTTGGTGGGTACATGTGAGTCACAGTGGTATTAACCGGGCTTGCTTACAGGCAGATATGCATCTATCCCATCATAGCGCTGTCCCTCAAGGTATTTCTTGAAATGATCTTTTTTCACCATGAACACAACTCCATTCCTCTTCGTCGTTCCTGTCATAGTATAACATATGATTATCAGAATCAGAAGGGCCAGCAACAGTCCATCTCAGATCACTAATGTCTAGGGTGGGAGTGGGGCTAGGGAATCATAAGGTAGGAGATTGGAGCCTATGAGTTATTCATTGACTGGGGGAAAGATGAGGCTTTCTGCTCTAGCAAAGATGTACAGTCTCAGAAACCCTACACAGGATACCGAGTCAGAACCGATTCAACGATACTTAACAGCCACGTACAGGGTATCAATGCATTCCTTTCCTTTGGACAACTTCCAATTTTCCTCGACTCATAAGCTTTACATGTTCTGATTATTAATGGATGTTTGTGGTTGTTTCTCCTCATTTTGAGTTTGCTCTAGAAGCAAATGCAGGTCCCGAAAGTTTTACTCCATTCCAGTCAATATGGTCAACTTTACTTTGAGGAGACAGCTCTTGCCCAGTCCTATTTTGATTGCCTTCCAAGCTGAGGGGCTCATCTTCTGCACTCTGACAGCGTTCCACTGCTATTCATAAGGTTTTCAATAGCTAAACGCCTTTCCTTCATCCTAGTGTGTCTTGTCTGGCAGCTCCACTGAAACTTGTCCACTGTGGGTGACCCTGCTGGTGTCTGAAGTATTGATGGCACAGCTTCCAGAATCACAGCAACACACAAGCCACCAAGGTGCCACATATTTACAGCCTGGCCAGATACTTATCAAATTTATTTCAATTAAAAAAAAACTAACTTCTCAATGCAGAGGTTTTCTCTATTTTTGTTTTTATTGATTTCTGCTGTAATCTTATTGTCCTTCCTTTGACTGTAATTTCTTAAGGTGGAGGCTCAGATGATCGATATACACCTTTCTTCTTTTCCAAGACAGACATTTCACAGAATAAATTTCCCTTTACACACTGCTCAGGCTGCAACCCACAATTGGCAGTGTTACGTTTTTATTTTAGTTGAGTTTAAACTATGCTTAAATTGCTTTTGTGACTTTTCTTTTCTTACCCATGGTTATTTAGAAATGTGTTGTTTAATTACAAGGTATTTGGGGACTTTCCAAATATCCTTCAAGTGTTGGTTTCATGATTATGGTTTGAGAACATACTTTTTGCTTGATTCCAAGTAAGGTTTGTTTTATGGTCCAGAATACGGTCTATCTTGGAGAATGCACTCAAGAGAAATACATAGTCCACTGTTGTGGGGAGTTAAACACACACTCCTTTACCCATAAATGCTAATAATGTGAAGCGGGTTGATGGTGTGGTTCTGGCCCATTTGGATCCTTACTGACTTTACTGCTTGTGTGTCCTATCTGTTGCCAGAGCATCTTCAGACAGATCGCAGTTTTGTCTATCCCTCAGGTGACTGATTCCCTGCCTCTGGTGTTCAGGCCTTTGTGACTCCCGTCCACCGGGTGTGGGTCGGACATCTAGCTGATATAAAGAAGTATTGCTACTCGGGTTCAGTTCGTACACACACGGACTTATTCCAAACAAAACGTAGTCAAGCAAGTCTCTGGTCAGTGGAGGCTGTACATTGTCTCAGGAATACACTTAGTCTCATGAACTTAGCTGCAAAAAAAAGGCCCAGTCAAAACCATGGCTTCTGAGGCTATTTGTTGGGAAAGTTCAAGGAAGAGTGGTCTGCTCAAAAAGTATGGTGACTGTTTTGGGGATCCCGAATGGGTGACCTTGACAGATGTTCTTGAAGGACACAGGATGATCATGGGAGCTTATTATCAAGACTGACCAAGCAAGCGAGCACTGCCATCAAGTCTAATCTGACTCATATGACTAGACACAGGGCTTCTGAGCCTGGGCGTCTGTGGGAGCAGCCACACTGATCCTTCTCCCAACGAGCTGCTGGTGATTTTGACCCACTGATCATGTGGCTATCAGGCCAATGTTTAACCCACAGGGTCTACAGGATTGCCACAGAGGTCCTGGTGTGGCGCTGTGGGTTAATGTGCCAAGTTGGTTGGAAGTGCAAGGTCGGCAGTTCAAACCCACCAGCTGCTCCTCAGAAATCCTATACAGGGTCACTCTAAGTCAGAACCAACTCAATGGCACTTAACATCAAATAGGGTTGCTATGAGTCACACTCAGCTTGGTGGTATTGGGTGGGCTGTTTGCTAATATTTTGTTGGGTGGGGATATTTGTGTCTATGGAGTCCTGGTGTGGCGCTGTAGGGTAAAGCACTGGACTGCAAGGTCAGTTTGAACTGCAAGGTCAGCAGTTCAAACTCACCAGCCTCTCCTAGGAAACCCTATATAGGGTCACTATGAATTGGAACTGACTCCATGGTACTTAACAGCAGTTATATCTATATTTTGAAGGGATATTGGGCCGTAGTATCCTTCTCTTGTGATGTCTCTGGCTTCAGTGTCTAGGCAATCCTGGCCTCAGAGAATGAACTGGAGATGTTACACTGAGCAGCTTGCCAGTGGAGTACCTGGGAAGATCTGGATGTGTTCTGTTTAACCAAGAGACACGAGTCTGATCCCACTGTCTGTCACCCTGCTGGAGTACAAGGGGCCCAGCAACCGGATGCCCAATCCATAGAGAAACTGCCACCAAGGCTCCCCAACTTTGCACCCCCTCCTGCAGAGCCCAGGGCCAGCACTCAAGGGCAGCCAGCACACGAGCAGCTACTGTGAGTCGGTCTGGGTGGACAGGTGGGGTGAACACCCTTAGTTTAGGCTTCAGTTCTTGTTTGGTTTTTCAGAGCCTGTGCGGTGAGTGTGTGTGGGGGGCGGGGAGGGGGGCTGCACTCAGTAATGCCACCTTCGCCCAGAAAGCACTGCGCAGAACAGCGCCTCTGCCCAGAGTCATGGGAGGGTTCCCCAAGTAGGTGGCCTCAGAGGAGGGATCTGCAGGGCCTCGGCAAGGAGGCAGGATGTGGGTGTCAGGCACAAGCCCTCCAGAAAGTCTGAGTTTGTAGACGGTTTATCACTGGTGGCTCTTTAAAAGTCTCAAGAATCATTCCTCCAAAGACTCATGTTTTTATTTGCTCTGATTAATGAGTGAGGGACAGCATGGCAGGCAGCCTCAGTCCCTGGAGACTCCAGCCTGGTTGGTGGAGAGGGCAGTGCCAAGCCCTGGCTGGGGGCCCAAGGGTTGGCTTGATGTTGGGTTTTGTTTCTGGAGACATCTGGAAAATTCATCAACCCTCCTGCTCCCCAGTCATAGGTTTTATTGATCTTGGGGACGGATCCTGCGTCCCCAGTCTCTCTGTTCGGGGCACAGCCGCCAGCACTATTGGAGGAAGGCCCTCAGGAAGTCGTTGTAGGATATTTTTGAAGAGAGTGTCTTATCGTAATACTCCAGAATGTGGAAAAACTCCTCCTCAGAGAGGTTGATGCTGTACTGCCTCAGGACCTGGGGGAAGGAGGGGTGGTCAGGAGAGGGTCCTGGCCAAAGGTCCCACCTCCCAAATCAGACCCACCTCCAAAGTGGCATCCTGTCTCTCTCTGCTTTCATCTTCATCACCTCCGTCCTCAACAGGAGACACCCCCTGGGCAGAGTGGGTCTTATGGATTGAGTTGAGGCCTCCCAGATCTGTGTCAGCTTGGCCAGGCCACGGTTCTCATGGGATGGAGTTACCCTGCATTTTGTGATCTGCTGTAATTACCCGCCAAGCTCTAGGCTGCTGTGAGGCTGGCTTCGGGGCAGTTCCTTTACCGAGCGAGGCAGGACGCAAAAGGTAGGATTGGGCTGTCTTTGGGGTCAGTCTCTTTAGAGACACGAGAGAGACTGAACAAGCAGAGAGCTAGGACCAAGAAAGAAGAGCCTGAGCCGAACGTGTCCTTTGGTCCCGGGGTCCCTGTGCTGGGAAGCTCCTAGACCCAGGGGACACGCAGAGAGGAAACGATCCTCTAGAGCTGGCACCCTGAATCCAGACTTCTAGCTCCCCAAACGGTGAGAAAAAAAAGTTCCTGTTTGTGAAAACCACCCCCTTGTGGTCTTTCTGTTATAGCAGCGCTGGAGAACTCAGACCAATGGGAAATGTACCTACTGTCACTGAGTCAATTCCGGCTCACAGCCATCTAACAACACACAGTGGAGCTGCTGTGTGGGGTCTCTTTAAGGGGGCAGACAGCCTTATTTTTTTCCCAGTAGCTGCTGGTGGGTTTGGACTGCTGACCTTGTGGTTAGCAGTCCAGTGTCTAGTCCACAGTGCCACAAGGATTCTTTCGTAATGAAGACAGTCAGTGTGAAACAGGAAGGGGGCAAAGAGAAGATGCTGATTCTGTCTCTCCTCCCACCCCTTCTTGGGAGTCTCGGTATGGGGCGATAGCATAAACACTGGACTGCTAACCACAAGGCACCAAGCCATCAGCCACTCCTCAAAGACCTTTTACAGGGTCGCTATGAGTTGGAACCGACTTGATGGCACACAATAGCGATCTTTTCCTGAGGCCAAGGGTTCAGAGCAGCTGGAAGCATGGAGAGAAAGGGATAGGAGCATCCTGTGTCTCCGGCCTCTGTGCACATGGACAGCTGCTGCCAAAGTTCAAGAGGGCCGTGCCGCACCAGGCCAGCCACGGCCTACTCATCTCCCATCTCTCTTGCTCAGCTTCCTCTCCCAGTGGTCACTCCACTCCATCCACCTCTCTATCTATTCCACTGAAGCTCACGTTCTAGAATCCCCATCTGTGTCTGTTTCACACGTTCTCCCATGTCCTTGTACAAGGTCTGCTCAGTACACCTGCATAATCCACCATCATGCCCCGTCAATGACAACTGGTTTTTGGTGCAAGAAGGGGCCCTCCAGCTATGTCCATCTGCTCCCCGACTTTGCTCTTATAAGTCCCACACTACCACCTGCCCCAAACTCCTGGGAAGATGCTGGAAGAGAAAAAGAACAGCCCATTGTCCACTCCCTTCCTTATTTCACAGTCTAGAGGATAAGCCCTGGCTAGCTGTCCTTCTGCCTCCAAGGACACGTAAACTTGAAGGCTGCGGGAGGTTCTCGGTGGGACTGCAGGACCACCCTGTGCCATGTCAGTATTGACCTCCCAGGGACGGGCCTGGGTTCGCTTAGCTGGATGCAACGCCGCAGCCCCACTGTGCACTGGGAGTCTGCGCAGGGGAGGTCCACTGAACCTGAGTAGGAATGGTCCCACTGTGAGCTGTAGGGCTGGGTATCTCTGTGCAGGATGGCCCGCTGAGTGTCTTCTGAGCACACAGTGACCGGGAAGCTGCTTGTCTGCCCTCACTCCCCATCTGCTGTGCATGCTGCAGGCTGACAGTGTATGGACAGCTCTGTGCCTGGTGTCTGTGTAGTGTCTGCTTGAAGTCAAACATTAGACTGTAAATGTGTTTCTAGCCTTTTGTTTGTCACCTTAGTGTCCTGGCTGAGAATGCCTGAGTACACTTACTTTCTTGAAAGTTCCACTGGCTTTAACCTTTAACCTCACTGGCTGGGGAAGTAGGGAGGGGACGGCAAGAATTTGCTAAACCGAGTTCTACTCCCCAGGAGGGGGGGCCTGCTCTTTGGTGTGGAAGCTGAGCCCCCTGGCGGAGGCACTGGGAAGGGGGGGGGGGGGGGGGTCAGGGCTGTCGGTGCCCTCAGTGGGGGAAGGAGAGAAAGCTTCAGTTCTAAAGGGTTTTGTCCCCCTCCTCCCCCTTTACATTAAAAGCAGGAAGGTTCCATGGGGGGGAGAGAAGATGGGGGGGGGGCTCTAGAGGAGAGGGGCTTAGGGACATGGTGCTGAGACGGCTCAGGCCACTTGGAGGGCGGCAGGGAGAGCGCAGAGGTCAGGCCGAGGGACCAGGGCTGCGGGTCTGCTGCTCTCAGAGTGGTACGAGTGGCCATCCCAGGGGCCCAACTGGTGGTTCCTGTTATCAGTGGGTGCCCGACCCGAGTGGGCCGCTGAGGTACAGAGCGCCCCCGCGCGGTTCTAGAAACTTCCGGGAAGGATCATCGGGAGTGGGTGGGCCCAGGCCCTAGATAACTTGGGG